GGCTGCTGCCAGCAGTGGTGCCAAGGCGTGGCACAGCTCCTCCTGCCCCGCTGCGTGCGACTCGCCTGAGCACGCCAGAACCCAGCTGCAGAGCTACCAAAGGCTCCCAGCTGTGCTCCTTGTCTGGCTCCCTTCCACCTCACCTCCACGTCAAACCCCGTGTGCCCAACCGTTCCTTGACACGCTCCTCCCTGTGCCAGTTCCTGCTCCCTCACTTGTGAAGGCAAGTGAGAAACCTTGGCAAGAGCCCCAGCCCCTCAGGGAGAGCCAGAGGACAGGGCAGGACTCTGCAAAGACCTCGTCGCTCTCCCGCTCACCCTCTGACAGAGCAGTGTGTCCACTCCCACCGAGCTGTCCCCTGGCTATCTGAGGGCCAGAGCAGAGCACCCCTCCCAGCTTCTCCCAGCCCCAGGAGAGCTCCAGTCCCACTGCAGCCCAGACCTGAGAGCAGGGCCTGGCAGGACCCAGGAGCCGACTGCACCCACCTCTCTCCTGCATCAGGGACGGCTGCTCCAGCTCACGCTGGAGACCACCCCTTTGGTGTGGACCACCACAGCGTGCCCCTGAGTGGCCACTCTGGGCTCTCCTGCACCCCTGTTGCAGTAACTGCCTGGTCACCGTGCTCACTATGGGATGTGTGTCCTCCCACACGGGCGGCAGGGCCGCGCACCGGAGCACGTGTGCTGCTGTGCCCAGCTCCATGTCACCAACACAGCCACCAGAGAGCTCCTGTCCCTCAAAGCCAGTCGGGTTCTCTCTGAGCTCCATGGGAAGCAGCTCCACAACATTGCTCCTGAGCACAAGCAAGAACGGGGAAATTCTTCCAAGTGTTTTACCATCACTCACCAGTTCCATTACTGCATACTCCATTTTTAGGAGAAGCGCCCTTTGTAACGGAAGGGAGACATGTAAACACCACAGCACAGATCACTGCAGCGGGTCACTGGGAGCCTAGAGGGTTTGTGATCACAGAGCTGTGATCCTCACTGGTGCCCAGGTCTGCTGAGCGCAGAGGGACACGGGGCAGCCTGGCACAGAGCAGGTTTGGGGCAGGGGGACAGAGGGAGGGGGCTCCAGGAGCACATGGCCTGTCCTCACTGCTGACACGGCTACAGCCCAGCAATCAGTAAACACTTCTCCAGCAGAGAGGCCTCAGGGTTGGCTGCAACTTCCCGTTAGCTCCATGCTGGGTCCTTCCCCTGGACAGCCCCAGTGCCCACCAGAGCTCCCCAGGTCCCTCTGGCAGAGCCCCAGGGGCACAGCATGGTACTGAGCAAAGGTCCTGCCTCAGCACCCAGGGGCATTCACCTCTGCACAGGCATCGTCTGCAAACCGGGCTCGAGGGTGCTCTGTGGGGTGGGAAGGGAAGGGAAAGGAAGGGAAGG